AAAGGGTTAATTCATTAATGCCGTATTCATATTTATCTTTGCAAACATTTTTATCCACCATATCATACATGCTTTCAAAATTATTAAAAAGCTTTTTCTAAAGTTGTTACTAAAGGAAGGTTCGCTTGGTTTACATGTAATTGCATTACTACTTTTTAATTCTGAACAAATTTCACGTAACTCAAGTACAAAAGTTTGAGTATTTCGAAGTATTAGGAGTATGTTTCAATCTTTACAGTTGTGCTATTTCGAATAAAAAAAAATTTTATATATATATATATATATCAAACTATTTTTCGTGTATTTAGGACGTAGCTCTTTGAGCCTATTTTCATGGATTTAGATAGTGATATTAATTAAGCACCTGGTAAAAAATATGTTGAATATTTTAGTTATTCTACATATTGTACCATGTCGGCCATACGCGACGATTCTTGATTCAGAGGAGAAATTCGGATCAACAATCTGCCACTCTGAAAACAGAAGATTTTTTGAATTGCATTCATATCCAAAATTTTCTCCATCTTATAAAGCGTGTGCTGATAAAAGATGTAAAACTTGCTCTAATATTGATAAAAAAAAAAATATGATTCAGGATAACTATAGCTCCAAATTTCTTTGTAAAATTAAAAATGTTATTTATATGATAACCTGTGGATTTCGTAATTAAAATCTGCTGAACAAAAAAGGAACTTTCTTAATATTAAAAACAATCAACATCTTTCAGATATAAACAGTAATAAAATTATCAATAAACTAGAATTGAATCATTTTAGAGTACATAATTTTAACAGCAATAAAATTAATATTTTAGGTATAGTTAGAAGCTTGACGCCCGGTGGCTGAGCGGTAGCCCTTCGCGCTGTCGTGCCACAGGTCCCTGGTTCGATCCTCGGGCCGGGCAAGGGTGACTCAGCCTTTCGTCCCTTCAGTGGGTCGATAAATGAATACCAAGCATGCTTGGGAACTAAGCACTGGGGGTTCCACGTTCGACTGACCACCTGTCCGAAACATTTTATCCTGCACCCCAGAGCCTAAGGTCAAGAAGACTGAGATGGGCACAGTAGGCCTTGGTCCCTTTATGAGCTGTCACGCCACTGAGTTTAGTATAGTTAGAAGCTATCGATTTAAGACTACAAAAAAAATTACTGCATGCTTTTATACAAAACGATTTTGCCATATGGGTTGAAAGCTACCTTCCAACAAACACAGATTAACTTAGATAACTCCTTAACTAACTCGCTTTTTCACATTAAAGAAAGGCGTACGAATCGTGGTAAACGGATACCAGGAAGTAATAAAAACTCTCTTAATAGTAACAAATTAATTGTAAATAAAATATTAATATATATAAATATTTTTATATATAAGTATTATTGTACATAAATATTATTATAAAATAAGAATTTACTTCTAATATGGAAAAAGATTTCAATAAGCATTATAATATTAAACCAATGAAACATTTTGTTTTTTTTTTCCTTAAGTATAATGATGTATATAAGCTTCAAAATCTTATTGCTAACTTTTCTTTTGTTAATTTGCACTTCAAAATTCTTTTTTTTTCGAACTCGTATTAGCTAAAATAAGTAGAATTTTACCCCAAAAAAAAAAATTATTTAGATAATTTTTATTTCAAGGTTGACTTTGAAAATCCTATTTTTAATAAGATTAAATTTCATAATATTTTTAAAATTTAAAAAAAGGAATTTCTATTAAAAGATTTTAACTTAATTAAGAGCTTTAAATATAATAGATCTCTTGGTAGAACTATTTTTAATTATAATGATGTTTGCAAAAATTTAGAGAAACTTAATATATTCGATTACGAATGTCACTGTGAAGAAGAGAAATTTTTTGAATTTATTGATAAACATCATAAGCATATTATTACTGGTAATTTAAATATTTTAAAAAACTGAGAGCTTAGAAATTTAATGACAAAAGGCACAAATTTAGTTTCATTTACCATACATGAATTAATAATATTTGAAAATATTTTCTTAATGATTTCAAAAATTTTTGTTTAAAAATATCAAATAGATTCTCTTTACTTTTAGATATGTTAACAAAATGGAAATGGACTGTTTATTACTTTAAAACCTTTGTATTCAATAATAAGGAAACTTTAAGTAACCACCGAATGTTTCTAAATTTGATTGATAAACTAAACTGCAAAAAAAATTTTAATTGCCCCTATATACAAAGTGAACAGTAATTATGCAATCCTCTGTCAAAAAAATATATGTTGAACTTTTAAATAAGGAGTTGAAGAATAGTAAAAACTTTAGGCTTAGTAATTTAAATAATAACATTATAATTAAAAAAATTTATCTTTATATAAGTGGTTAAAAATTATAATTAGCAATATACAATATCCTTACTTAATTATCAGTCCAAAATTTCATAAAATTCCTATTAAATTCAAAGCCATCACATGTGGGTCTAATACTTACCTAACTAAGCCAGGCACCATTTTCTAATAAAATTAATGACAATAATATTTAAGAAGGTTTATCTTGGCTTATCACTAATATTCAACAGATTTTAGAACTTATTAAGGAAAAGAAGATAAATTCATAGGAAAATTCTAATTAATTTTTGTCTTTTTAACAATTATCTTCACAATAGAAAACATATTTTTATTCAAATTGACGAAATACCACAAGGATCTATTTTTTCATATCTCTTAGATAACTTATTTTTGTACTATTATGAAAAAAATTATAATCTTGATATTAAATCCGTGTCAAATCCGTGACTAGAAATCTGTGTAAAGAGGGCAAATAATTTTTCTTTTAAAAATTAATTTTCTAAAATCATTAAGATTTTATTATTAAATATCAAATTTATTAATTATAAACTTTGAACTATCCAGTACAATATTAGTCCCTTGCTCGCATCTTGTCTCGGGCCAATCCAAGGTAACTGAAAAATCGAACGTGCTGAAGTAAGAACGCGCCAAAAAAAAAAACAACCTCTAATTAAGCCTCTAACCTCTAGTTACACCTCTATTTTCATATTTTGTAATCTGCCAAACTTGTTACGAAAATATTTTAAATCATTATTGAAGGATTTCAGCATTAGTAATTTCACTTGAATTTGCTGCTCACTTTATAGATTACATTTCATACTTTTCTGTATTTTTTTTTTTAGTTTTATTTTCTATTTTCGCTTGATGAGTTTTATTTAGTATATTGTTTACTTAATATGATCCATTTTCGTTTCGATTTTTTGGGGATTCCTCCCACAATTGTATTGATATATTTTGCTTTGGCTATATTAATTCAATATTAGAAAGCACTCTTTTCTACTGATATGATCGTGTGAGCTGATGATGAAATTATAAATATATATATATATTCATAATTTCATGAAATTATAAGTTTTTATAATAAAAATATCGTGGCTCTCTCCTTCTAAGGAAACCTCATTAAACGAAAAATAATGTGGCGTCTTATTTTCTCTATTTAATACAATTATGCCTCGATAATCCTCTCCAGCTCATTTTTTTAGCAGTAATAATAGTTTTTTTATCATTTTATTTAATCTTATTTAAATTGAAACTTCAGTTTCTTATAAATGAAAGCTTTAAATGTACATTGATACGAGAAGTCAAATAGTGATGTTTCAATCTTCTCTATAAAATATCATTATTTATTATCAATCACTTAAGAAACGTTCTTATCTTAACTATATATTTATCAAATAAATGTGCTATTCCCTCAACAAACCTTTTATTTACATTGCACTTTTTTTTCGTCATTGTGTA